GACCTTATAAAAGAAATGAAATAGTAAAAGATTTTGGATAGAACTATAAGCATTACCTTAATATTTCTTATGTAGTTCATACTCTAAACCTCCAGCTTTTGTGCTTCCTTAGATATCTAGGGCCCGGCATGGCCAGGTGGTTTGGGCACTCAATTCATAATCTGCAGTTTGTGGGTTCAAATCCCTGTCCCACCAAATATCCTCGCCCTTTCAGCCATGGGGGTATTATAATGTGACTGGTAATCCCACCATTCATTGGTAAAAGAGTTGCCCTCCCTATAGTTTTACACTGTTAAATTGGTGATGGTTAGCACAGATAGCCCTCGTGTAGCTTTGTGCAAAATTCAAACAAACAAACCCTCAGAGATCTTCTAGCTGTTTATTTATGCACTTCCATGCTTCCTCAAATTTCATCTTTCTGTTTATTAATGCAATCTTGCAGCATGAGGAATCTATACTGTATCAATACTTGCCATTCAGTGAGTCCTGAAGAGATGTCTAAGTTACAGTATTGTAAAGTTTTCTGGTTTTTATTATTTCATGCTTCTACAATTAGCAATATTTTTTTTAAGATTATATTTTAAAATACAATTGTATAATTATTCTCAACAAATATGTTTATTATTATTATTATTATTATTATTATTATTACTTTCTGGTTACAGAAATTTCATATTTCATTCATTTATAATTCCACAGACAATATTTCCAGTAACACTGAATATAGAAATACCTCCACATAACCAGAGTTTTGTCATGGGGAGAAACAGAATAAATGTGCAAACAATAATGCAGCAAACAGGTGCACTCATAACCTTCCCTGATTCCACAGTTGGTTTATCTGAATCAACAGAGAGTTTGGTTACTCGTGTGCAGCGTGCCTCTACCGTGATAATCAGTGGTGTAATTGATGCTATATATGTAGCCTGGCAAGAGTTAATGGTGAGTTACAGAATAAAAATTATCAATTCGAATAACCTTTCTAAATCAAAATGTAGCATAAAAAAATATTTATTAGTTTAACAGATGAATTATAGTTGTTTAAAGTATGTAATCATTTTTTATGCTCTTATTTGCTAACATTATTCATCATTAATATTAGTTAAGATCTTGCAGTATTGTGGATGAAAACTTGCATAATGTTCACTTGATACAGAATAAAAATGGATAATATTTATTTTTACCTTGAATTGTACAACTTAATTTTCATGAACTTGAATTATCAAAATGTCAGGGAGCTGGAACATAAAAACAGATGGTTTATTACAAACAATTTTTGAGTATCAAAGTTGTTTATTACTAGCAATGTTGAAGATTTTATTTTTCTGACAGCTTCATCAGCTTGTGTTTTTCTTTTGACATGCTTTCATAAATTTAGGAATTGTCATTGTCACCATGTGAAAAGTTGTAAGTACCTTAATATTTATCAATATTTGCTGACATTATAAAATTAACTTGCAGCTTAAAGTATTTGAGGAATAAATTATGCACAGGTTTTCTCTCTTTATACAAAAATCTGGTTTGACTTTTCTACTTTATTATGTAAAATTGTTTGCCTACAGTATAGGCTTTAGAGCAAACCTATTTACATTGACAAAACAAATTCGTTTTTTGGGGTGGGGGGTGGCTGTATCAGCTTTCCAGTCGACTCGCAAAAATTGGATAATGAACTACTGTTAGTTCAATGCACTAAGAATGAAAAAAAAAAATGGATGACAATTTGTCATTTTCATGTGTACCACAAGCACTTTAATGACAATTTCTATGACTATTTATACTGGAACTAGAAAATTAAATTTCTTATTTTTGTAGGGCTATCTTCCTCTAGTTCTTATGTTTGATCTGAAAGATGGACAGGAGTTAAACACAGGTACTAGAAATTTTAATTTTATTGTATCATTTCTTGGGAGGCTTCTTCTGTTGTACAGTTATCCACATAGGTTTTAGAACATGTATGAAGAATGTTGTTAATTTAGTTTTTTCCTATTTTGTATGTTGTTGAATGCTTGATATATTCACTAAATAACTTTAAATACCACTTGAAAATATTAGGAGTATGAGTGGGGAAACTGACATGTGTACGTGCACTGAAGACCTTGTGTTTAATATATATATATATAATTTTTGCTGTTAAAAGTAATAATGGATAATTGTTCAAAGTTTTTAATGCTTAAGCTTTCTTAATTTGTTTAAGTCATTATGCATAAGTACAGAAGCGGGTGCAAGGACGGTGGTAGATTTAGTTTTGTATAGCTTGTTCAGTTATTTAGCCACTAATATTAACTGCATTCTTTGTTACCAAATACTAAGTAAATAACCATACAAGTTAAATTTATTGGAATTAATTCAGAAATATTTTACTTAATATCAGCCCTTATTCACCAACTCATGGAATATCTGAAAGTTAACATCATAATCAGACCCAAGCCAAGACAGAACAGTAAGGTATGTTTTTGTTTTAGTTCAGAACAGTACTTGTTGCTTACAAAAAAAAAAACAAAACAAAGTAAAGCTTAAATAAATAATTAATTAAGGAAGTACTCTGTTATGTAAAACTTGTTGTTATGACTTGAATAAAGTTCTTGACACTGTCATGTATCTTCTATCCAAGAAATGGTTGTTGAGAGAGACACATACACTTTTTATTTTGTAACAGAAGTTCCAAGTCTCTTAATGGCATATCGTGCTAGAGACGGGGTTCAGCTTAAATTAACCTTTAGTAGTGTTTGGGAACCTTTGGATTAATAAAACATTCAAAATTTTTCTTTTGGCATAATTTCCAGTTTTGTGTATTAGTTTGTCTGATTTCCAGTTGATTTTATGATCAAGATTCCTCATGTATAGAAAAAATAGCATTAATGGTGTGACCATTTGCAACGTTACCTTATTTTCTACAATCTTTCGTATTACCTAGGTTAGAACTTCATTCCTTGTACTTGTTGTACCTGATGATGATGCCAGGTTAACCTGGTAAAATATTGTAACAAGATATATTATACTCTGTATATCTGACAAAAAAACCCAACAAGTTTTAAGTGATTTCTTTCACAAGTAGAAAGACACGAAGGCAGAAATTAAACAAAAATATTGATCAAGGTTGGAAATAAATCCTTCAATTTTCCCTGATCTTACCTAAATTCTTTAATAATCTTAATGATAAATCAACATTACTTGACAATCATTAAAAATTATGCTTTTAAAAATATTAATGTTATTAAGTGTCAGTTGTTCTTTTTGCTGATAATCTTCTCACAATATTTGATTATAAAAGTTCAAATTGATAGTATTATAATTTCTTAAAAGCTTAGTATAGCATTTGTGCTCTCTTCCTTTCTCTCGTGTGTGTATGTGCATGCGTACACAAATTTTTTAAGAACTGCAGCTTCATTGGATGCAATCTCTACCACAGACTTTAGTAATTCTCAGTTGGTCTTAATTTTTGTTTTTGCTTCTTGTGCACTTCAAACGTTTTCATAATACTTCCAAAATACTAGCAATTTGCAGTTTTATATATATGTATATGTATAAAAAATTATATATGTAATTTTGTTTTTTACTTATTTCAAGAAATTGTTTACTGTGATTTGTAAGTTATTCTGTGCAACTTGTAGTCGGTTGTGGTACGGGGATCAGAGAAAGATTCTCGAGCTCTGTTTGAAGTTAGAAGACAGCTGCTTGGATTGGATGAGTCAGCAGTACCTTTGTGTTGTGACAAGCACTTTCTTTCTAGAGCACATCCCATTTTGATGTCTACTTTAGGCCTCACTGGAGGAACCTTGAATCTCCAAAACCAACTGAGAGACATCAGTAGAGTACTTAGTGGTACGTATTAGAATTTTGAAATGAAGTAAGAAAAATGTTTCTGATTGTATTTTATAGGAGCACTAAATAAAGTGACATCTAAAATCTTGTCTAAATGAATTAACAACAAATTAGTAAATACATTTACTGTTCTTTTATGTCCTATATCTCAAAATATCACTTATCTCCATTAGTTATGTAAATTTATGAATTTTCTTTGTTAATTTGAAGGATTAGTTAACATGCTCATGTAAAGTATTGGTTTTCATTGTTTACGATATGTGTGTGTGTGTGTGTGTGTAATCCTACATGGTTAATTTATTTTGCTAAATCTACAGTGTATGTATGTAGACATGTTACTTGTCTTTTGTGCTTATATATATAAAAAATTCTAAACAGTAAAAAAGCTTACTTGTATTGTCAGGTTTTTATAGGGCCAGATTCTTTATAGTAGGTGTCTGTGATTTGTTAGTGATAAATTTGAACAATAAACAAACATCACACTATCCACTTGTTTTTAAATAATGTATTCAAATGAAAGTCAAACATCATGGTATAATGATACTCACTTAAAGCATTGAGAAAAATTCAGAAGATTCAAGTAATGTGACATTAGTTCTCAACAAATGACATAAACAATTACATAATCAAACCTGTGATAAGTTATCACTACTAACAATATTATGTGAATTATTACTCTGGTATTAAATTTAAATGGAACAATAATATATATAACATGCATATTTAATGAATTTTATTATTGATGTTTATTTCGGTGTGTATGACTAATAGATTTGGTTAGTTTATTTGTGTAATTTTGAATAATTTAAAAATAGATAATAAATATCAATTTTTGTGTGTCGCATGGTATGTTGAATGCAGCATTGGCTCAAATTAGATGTTTGTGATGTCCTAATACAAAGTCTATAGTTTCTTACGGATTAGATACTCAAATTATTGATATTTACAAGCTAGAATGTAAAATAAGAACCCCCTGTCTTTTTTATTTTCTGAGATAGTAATATATTTATTGAATCAATTAAGGTGGCCCTGCCCACCTCTTCAATTTTTCAAAATACATAGTTTGCCCCAATGATGTGCGTGTAAATAATCAAAAGCCCAGAATGCCCCCCCCCCCCCTTAGTGGCTTTCTCAAGCTCTTTGAAACATTTGGACAGCAAACCTTCTTTCTTTGTTAGTTCAAGTGGTAAGGTAAGACATTAGTGAGCTTGAAATTTCATGTTTGTTTTAGACCCAAATACAGCTTAGTTACTAAGCTTGATAAATTATAGTGGAATTCTATGGTATTGATATATATATATATGAATTTTGGTTTTTGGTTCCTCCACATGTAAAATTTGACAAGGCTTGGCAACCTGCAGCAAACGAGTACAAAGTTCATAACTAGAAGAGAATTGTTTGCTACACTTCTTTATTTACAGTTCTGTGTTTTAAGAAAAATAAGTTTTTAAAATACCTATTTGTAAATAGTAATGTATATACATATATAATATAACTGAAATGTGATTTTATTTTACAAAATACTAGTCCACTAAAATGCAGCCAAGACTCACTTTGTAAAGTCTTTTATATTTTTGGATATCGTAACATGAGTGCATGTGTGTTGAGTCATTGCGGCTTCTGTAATGATAGCCAGACATGGCTTGAAAGGTCACTATGATAAAAATATAAAAAAAAATATATATATATATATATATATAATAGGAGATTTAAGCTATTTAGTCTAAACATTTGTTTTTGTGCTATAATATGTAATCATTCTAGAGTGAAAAAAGCATAATTTATATTTATTTCCTAATTTTTTATGGTGGTTACAGGGTTGATCAAATTGACCCAACCAGTACAGAGGTACATTAGTGAAAGTAACAGATAAAATTTAGTTTTTTTCTAACAAAGCATTATATGGAGGTTATAAAGATTTTGCATGTGAAATTTAAAAGTTTTTTTGATGCATAAAAGTATTTTTAATCTTAAAATCAAAATTACTTTGCATGTTGGATAGTTAAGAAATCTTAATACTTAATAACGAGAAAAAATTTGATACCTTATGTACAAAAGCCTTGTAATGTTTACTTATAATTTGCAAAATGTCATGAAGATGTGCTTACTAATTAAAGTTATGGCATGAAAACTATAATAAGCACAAAATGGTTAAGAGGTTAGTTCCTGGGACTGAGCCCGTGCTGAGAGAGTTAAGATTTTTGAACACTGTATTTAGTTAATTTTATGATGAAGCATAAAGTAAATGTTTGTATTTTCATTATTATTACTCTCTCACCCAGTATCTTTTTTTTAATAGCTGGCTAATTTTTGTTTTTTTAGAAAAAAATAAAGAAACTGCCATTACTGGTAATATCCCATCAAGTCCTCATTTTCTCATGAACAATATCGAGAATCTTCAACTGCCTCTTAACTCATCACTCCTCTCTACTTTGATAGCCAACCAGTCTCAGCTATTGGCAGCAAATTCTGTCTCAAATATCTATAACCAGTTTCCACAGAACTATATTCCCAACATTTATGGTAATTTTTTTTCAACTCGAATGGCCAATTTGTTTAATAATCCAAGCTATTTGCCTAGAGATGGATTGGGAATAAATCCGTATGAATTGCTGATGACTGGAATCCCTGATCAAGGTGCAGTAATATCTTTTATAATGTATTACAATACAACATTACTTAAGTACTTAGTTGTTATAAAAGTTTCTAGAATAATAAGTAATATTACATACAATTATTACTTAATTACACAGGTGGATAAAATTATGTGAAGGTGACTGATCTAAATAAGCCATACATTAAATAATTTAATTTTTATTTACAATTAACTATGATTAATTTTATATATATATTAATTAACAATGCTGAATGCTATATTAATGGGCAGGGCATAGCCTAGTGGCTAATATGCTCACACTGATTATGGGGATTCATGGTTAGTGTCATATTGTTACAAAAAGGCATTCCTTACTTTGGATTTCTAAATGTATTGTAAGAGTTAAATCCTACTTTCAACCAGATAATAGTAGTTTAAGAGTTGGCAGTGGATATTGCTGGCAATTTGCCTCCATCTAGTCTGTCAGCTGAAAATTAGGAATGGCTGTCTAGATAGCCCTTGTCTAGTTTTGTGCAAAAATTCTAAAAAAGCATTAGCAAATGTTTTTGTACAAGGATACGCACATAATAGTAAACCCTCTCAACTCCAAGTGTCCTTTCTTTTGGTCCCTTGTTCCTCATCCTTTTGCTCTAGCTGTTGATGTTCTCAGCCAGGACTGTCTCACCTTTATCTATATGCCTATCCTCCTCTTCGCCTCCTCCCTTGGGTCTTTACTTTCATATATGACACTCCTTGTTGGGTCCTACTGGTGTCACCTTTTTGGCCAACTCAGCCTTGTTTTACCCTGCTTCTTTGCTCATTATCCAAACCCACCTTTCCTCTATCCAGTGTCCCCGATCTATTTCTTCAACTTCACTCTTCCCTTTTCTTTGAGGGGTATCATCCCTCCATCTTCATGTGTGGGATTTGTCAGATCCATTGCCAGTCAGCTAAACTCTCTGATAGTGTAGCAGTCTTCTTGTCACATTCCTGTTGCCCTTCCACCATGTCTGTCTTTCAACAAAAGTGGAGAGTCTTTCCTTGTTGGTCCATCTGCCACTCCTTTCTTCCTGGCTGTCCTCCTGTGAACCACTTTTCTACCATTTTTATTTCTTTTTCTTTCACTTTTTGTTTGGCCATGGTTTGTTAGTCTCCACCATTGCTAGTTATTGGGCAGCTTTGTTCACCACGTTTACCTTTGTCTGGTACCATGGGGTATGTTCTTTCCCTTCACTCTGTTCTACTCCTTCATTCTTCACCAACTTCCTCACCTGACTCTCATGCCTGACTGGGACCCTAATATGGTTTTGCATTCTTTCACATGTGCCTTGTTCAAGCTGTTGGCTTTTATCTCTTTGTACCATCTCTCTCTCAAAGTTTATTTCCTCATTCTTCTCACCCGTGATTGCTGTCATTCAGTTGTTTATACTATTGGTGCTTCTCGCACTCTCTTCCACTGAACTTGTATGCTCCTTTACCTAGACCTGTCTTTCCTTCTTGACACTTTTGCTGTGGGAAGGTAACTGTAATTTCTGTCTTGCCTCCCTGTCTTTTTGCCTATATGATCATTCAGACCCAGATCAAGTCCTGTGTCCTGTTTGGTGTTACTTATCACAGACTTCTATTTTTCAGGATCCCTGCCATCACCTGTTTCTACACATGGACCCCTATCTTTCTACCCTTACAGGATGGGTCCATCAACTCCTCCTGTTGGTATATTCTTCTCTGGTTGTGGATACTCCCAGGCTATCTCTCATTTCTTTGCATCAGAGTTGTCACCTGTCTCACTCTTGCTTTCCACCAGGCAGGCATGTGGACGACTCCCCACATGTTTATTGCTCATTATCTTCATCTGGCTGTTTCATTTCCTGCAAGATTTCAACCCCTCCCAGTTGCCATTTTTCAATCAGCCCACCATCTTTGAGATTGGGGTTTTTTCTTTCTCCTTTCTCTCCCTTCCTGTCAATCGGGATTCTACCAGGTGGCTGGTGTTGCCTCCTAGGGTATGTTTATTCCCAAAATCTGCATTAAGCCAGTATAACAAACAGCCCATATTCACTGGATCTACCAGTGCCCATTGCGAGATAGGGTGTTCTGCACAATCACTTGAGTATTGTCATGGTATACAAATTTACTCAACTGCCCAATCCAGAGCATACCAATTTCATGGACTAGCCTGGACAAAACCATCACCAGGGAAGTGACTGCCCACTTATTTGGCTTGTGCTTGCCAGGTTTTAAAAGTAGGGATTTACTGTCACCCATTGCACTCTCTCCACTAAAAGACCTTTCTGGTTGGTGGTCTGATAGGAATCTGATAACTTCTCTGGGTCTTCCCAACACATTTTCTTGCCCATTTTTCTTCAAGTGAAGCATAGGAGACCTTTGCCACTTACCAGTTCTTAGCTGCAGGGGTGATGGACCATGGAGAATCCTCACTGTTTGGGCTTAGCACAATAATGAGAGAAGTAGTATGGTGATGATGCAGTCAGTGAAGTATGGGTCCTGTCTCAAATAGGTACGGTGGCCTGCTTCTGCAGCCAGAGCTTGTCCAGTTAGTTTGATCAAGCCCTTACTATACCGTATACATTGACTTACCAACAACTTTTATGCAAGTGCTTGGTTTTCATGATCACGTTCTGCTCATACCTTCAGTATATTTCACTTTTTTCCTCCCTATCATCTTGGGTGAGGAGTATACCTTGATTGAGACAAAATGCAGTCTTTCACGGGTGTGCCCCCTATGAAGCTCCTGCCATTGGGTGTCACACTCCACTTGGTTACTTTGGTAAATTTTTGCACCAGCTGCTCTACTTCTTGAATGGAGGTGAGTTATTGTCTTCGAAGTTAACATTTTCTACTCTAAAAATGTATTTCTAATACATATACTCACATTCCCACCCGACTTCCCCACTTCTGGTGCCCCTCTTTTTCCTTGCCTTGTCTAAGAACGATGTTATCATGACTGCAAGTGCTTAGGAGGAGTTGCTGTGCATGGAGGTTGTGTTGCTCTCCTATTGATGGAGTCATTATGAACGAACCAGTGGAGTTCACATTAAACGTATGAATTTAGGCAGGAGTTAGCTCAAGGCTAGTGGCATGCAAATTTCATAGGCAGATGCGTGAGGGAAGTAGAATTCTTGAGCGTGGAGATGATTTCTATCAGAAATACATTTTCAGATTAGGAAAATGTTAACTTCAAAAGCAAGAGTCAAAATGTTCAATGTAGCTTATGAAACTATGGAAGGATTTTTTTCATGATATATGAAGTTTGTGAAGCCACCATACAGAGATCTGATAGATAGAAAAGGAAAAACGATAGCACATAAAATTTATGCTCTTAGTATAAGAGTGCATAACAGATTAAAATAAACAAATAGCATTAAAAGTTAATTTCAAACTACAAGAAAGTTATACCAGTTAAGATGAAGGTATATCACATGTGTTGCATTTAATTCTAATGAAAAACTAACTCTGTGTAATATTAAAATGTTTAAGAATATTTAGATATAAAGTTGAAATTGGCTTCAATTATTTGCTATATTGAGATTTACAAAATGTGATGTTTATGTTAAAATGAAGATGTGTGATTGAAGCTGTGATATGCAACATGTAGATATCTATGATTTAGAACAATCATCAAAATCTTACTGAATTCTTGATCCTATATTTCTTTATTAAGGGCAATTTCCTGGTAAAATTATTCTATAAGAAAAAGGAATCTAACGTAAGACAGATGTTTGTTTTTTTTCCAGCTTTTTGTATGTCTGGAAGTAACAGTACTTGTAGTACTCTGTCCAGTCCAAGCCTGAGCCCTCAGCCAAGTCCTCTAAATCTTCTAGGCTCTGACTGGGCAAATGTATGTAGTGGAGGAAGTAACAACAATGAAGAAGGTATGCAAACGTTTTGTTTTTTAAAATGCATCTTTACATTTAAAGTAGGATTCACTGTTTGTTAATGTGGGTTTGTCAACTTATAGAAAACTTAAGAATTTGCTGGTCAACTTCTCATAGGTGATTTTCATTTAGTTTTAATATAAAGGAAAATTTCTAATTAATAAATTATTTTTATCTGTATGTATTTTTTTTATTATGTATTAGGTGAATACACTCAATGGATCAGATTTATTGTGAATATATATGTTGTATATCATAACATTTGGAGACGTATAGTAAATAAAAACATTAAAGCATTATAAATGTATAGAGCTAGTTATAAATAAGGAGATTTTGGGTCACTATGAAAGAGAATTTGTAGAAAAGAAATGATAAGGTTGTGTTGTAGTTGTAATTTTGCTCTTTTTAACCCACCTTCTTTGTATAAAATGGAAACCCTGTTTTCTCTGTGTAATTTCAAAATTCAAAAATAAACTGTGTTTATTGTAATGAAAGTTGATTGTTTTTGTTGGGGAAAAAAGTTCTATTGATTAAACCTTGACATTTTCAACATGCTGAAGTTTAAGTTTAATTGTTATTTGGTTTGTATGGATAGGATGAACATGTATGTTATGTTTACACATGAATTATATAAAAGTTCTTGTCACATATGAATGATAATTCATTATTGATTTTAATTTTAGCATCCATTGGTTGGAAAAATTGGACAGACATTCCTGAAGGTCCCAGACCAGTCTTGGGATATACTGCATCTTCAGGAAACAAAACCCAAAGTACTAATCATGCAGAATTTGGTTTGAATGGAGAAATTTCTTGTCATCCAGAATTAGGATCACGTCCCACATTATGGTAGGAGGACATGTTTTTATGTAAAGGCAAAAATTTGGAATATATTCTTAAGTTCAGCATTTTCCAAAGTCTGGTTCGTGACCCGGTACTGGTCCATCAAAAAAAAAAAAAATAGGCAGTCTGCAGAAAACTAAAAAAATTAAATTAATTTTGACCCTTTCACTACCAGCCACCATTTTTCAACTTTCTCCAAGCATTGTTGTATAATTAAAAAAAAAAAAAAAATAGTAATTAAATCAGTTAATGTAAATATATTCTAATAAAATTAATATTTTCAAATACATTGTAATTTATATTTCCATTTCATCTAATTTGGATTTCTCAGTATTTCAACTATGCTAATATAACAGGAAGGAAAAGTGAAAGTTTGTACTTAAGGCTACAAAACTATAAAATTCACAAGTTGACGGCTGCCTTTATACCTTCAGTCCATCAGGAATTAAGGTGTTCTCACTTAGTGCAACTTAGAGAGCCGAAGATTAAGTTTTATGGTGTTGATAACCTTGAGATTCTTGTGAAATGCCGTAAATTTAAACCACATGTTAGCGAGACACGTTCCCCTGTCTGCAGGTAAGGTCAAAGAAGGGATTTTGTCTGTGTCTCATAAAAGGACCATTTGTTCATTCAAGTTAACCGGTTCTTCGACACCAAAGTTTTAGGAATTTTATTCCAAATGTGTTAAATTTGCTTAATCTGTTAATGGAAATTGACAGGCATGCAAGACCAGAGTCTTGCGTCTGGTAGTGGCAGCAGAGAAGTTGCTGGTGGCTGGTGCTAGAAGCATCAGTTTCTTCTGAGAAGAGAGAATTGTTTGTTACTAGTTTGTTCAAACTAAAAAAATTTTTAGGTTCATTTTTAAGAAGACCCCTCTCCAATATGAATAGATGGCTAAAGAAACGTGCATCACACAAGAAAACCTCAAGTGATGTGCAAATGCAGCTTAGTTCTAGTGAAATTGAAGTTAGTGAAAATAATAGGCCTAATTATGAACGTTTAAGTGATGTGCAGATTGGTATCAAAGAAAACAAAAACCTCTTTGACTCGACAGTATTGTGATGAATATTTGAAGTATGTTTTTATAAGTGGTGGTAGAAATAATGACTTGCCACTATCTTTTCTTTGTTGTTCAACATTATCAAGTGAGCGTGAAACCAACGAAACTGAAACACCATTTGGATACCAGACATCCAGAATACTTGAGTAAGCCAATAGATTTTTTTCATAATTTTTTTTTTTTTTTTTTTATTTTTTACTTTAACCAAAACTAATTTTACTACTTACCTTTTACCGAGATATTCTTACTAATGAAGTACGTTTGGTTGTGGTCCTCACTATTAGTTAAA